GACAGAGTAAAAGGTTTCTTTGCACAAAGCAACATAAGAAGAAAAATAAAATTATAATGGTTGTAATAGTGTAATGATAGCTTTCTATCCTTTTTTTTTTTTTTTTTTTTTTTTTTTTTTTCAGAATCTGAATATTGATGCCATCCATTTTTCTTTTCTTGTCTAGACACAGACAGTTTTAATGTAACAAAGAAAATAATTTTTTTTTTTCCAGGGGAATCGGTAATAATCTCATATTTTTCGTACGAAGAAAAGAAAATGACAACATTTTTTTTATGCATAATGAATTAATGTAATGATAAGAAAAGGCAATCGGCAATATATCTTCCTTGCACTCAAAGTTTTGTCCAATCAAATTCAATCACTCGACCGGCCGACAGTGTGTAAATACAAGAAGACAGAAAGATTTATAAAACAAAACATTGTCAGGAAAAAGAAAAGGTAAAAACTAAAAACACAGCAGTATTATTTTTTAAGATTTTAAAAATAAAAATAACATCTTTAAAGTTTTTTTTTTTATTTCTAGATCACAGATAGGTACGATTATTTGGAACTATGCTACCAATTAAGTTTGAATAATTAATTTTATTCGGTGGTCACCTTTAATTTCTAAATACTCGGTATTTTACAGTGTCATATACCCTATTTTACTGTATATAATTTAATTTTTATATATTATCGGTGTAAAACAATACATTATAATTAATTTAAATATACAACACATAATTTTTAAATAATTATTGTAAAATCATTAAATTTATTAAAAACATAATTTTAAGAATATAAAAATAGTCTATATTTTATTATTGACTATAAATATTTTTGTTAAAGACAATTTCGTTCCATCCAAACAAGACTATTACCATAGTCTATGTAAGATAATACAACCGCTTTTCATTTTTTTTTTACATTTATCATTTAATCGTAATTATTTTATCATTTAATTTACACAAAGTTTTGGATTTGGATATATAAAAAAGGAAATAATTTATCAAAATTCAGTGTTGATTTAACGCGCTCGTAACGAGTTAACTTCGTTTCCCCTGGAACTTGACTCTACTGAGTGATGAACAATCGCTTCTCAACTCAATCCTGAAGGAGTTTCCAACTTGCGAAGAAACCGTAGTTTCGTTGGGTCGAAAACGCACGCGGCGTGACCCACCTCCACCTTCACCTTCACCTAGCTGTGGTTTCGTCATTTTTTATTGGTGGTGCAGTTACAACACTGTGAAACGTGAATATGAATTGATGGGTTGTGTTAAAACTAGAAACACTTTGTCTCATTCCCTCTTCCCTGCACTGCACTTACCCTTTTCCGTATAGCGCATAAAAACGTTCCCTTTCGCCTTCGTTTGTTCCAAGTTTTGATATTTTAGGGAGTGGGGCTGAAACTACGAAGAGGGTATTGAAATGGCACATTTGCAAGGAGTGGATCGGAAAAAGGGCGATGTAATCCGTTTAGAGCGCGAATCTGTCATTCCAATTCTGAAGCCTAAACTGATAATGACACTGGCCAATCTTATTGGTAATGCTTTTGTTTGAACCTCTTTAGCTCCAATCTGACACCTGGAATTTGTATCTATGTTGTTGTGAAATTTTTGCATTTTGTGGTACTCTGATTGTGGTTGATTGTCCTTGGAATTGAGGAATATTGATGGGTGGGAAAAATCAGTGTTGTTTTTTTCTTTTTGAATACAAATTGGGATGAATTATGCTGGTGTTTACTGCCACTTAGTTTTTAAGTGCTATTATGGAGTTCAAATTTTGTGCTTATTAATTAATGTAGATGAAGAAATTTGGAAGCAGTTTTACTCTTTGTGGCTTGAATTTTTTGTGTATTACATGCAGAACATAGTTCTGACCGGGGCGAATTTTTGAAGCTGTGCAAGAGAATAGAATACACGATTCGAGCTTGGTACCTTCTGCAATTTGAGGACTTGATGGTATTATTCATTTCTTGATTTTTCTGATATAGTTATAGATACCTTATGCTTGTGGAGCTTGATTCCTGTTTGTATTCAGCAACTTTACTCCCTCTTTGACCCTGTACACGGGGCACAAAAGTTGGAACAACAGAAGCTAGCTCCAGAAGAAATTGATGTACTTGAACAGAATTTCTTGACATACCTATTTCAGGTACCATATCTACTAAATGCATTTGAGTGTCAATATTTTGGGGGATATTGTTAATATAATATAGACTTAAAACTCATCATGGATTTTTGTATTAATATAAAGAAGTGCTCTAATCCTCCAATGATTATGGTGTTGCTACTTAAGTCCTTTAAAGATTTTTGTCACCTAATAAGTTCCTTGGTAAAGAATAACATTTTACATTAATCTTTCAGACATTATGTTACCAAATTAGTTCCTCAACGATCTAAAATGTTACCACATTTTTTTTGTCAATTACTAAAGTGGTGACACAAAATGGATGAACTTGACAGTTGTTATGTATCTTTTTAATAGAATTGTGTATGAGAGAGAGAGAGAGAGAGTGAATAGAGAAGGTGAGAGAAAGTTTACAATAGACAAAGAATATGTTTTCATTAACTGACTGAAAAATAGAGTACAAGGCAGGTTTATATAGAGCCAATTAATATTGGTCTATAATAACAGTAATAAATGTGTACATATAATTAAGGAGTAAAACTATACTCCAATACTTTTGAGGGTTTAGTTTGGTGACAGAAATTTTTGGAAGACCAATGTGGTGACACTCTAATCTTTGGAGAACCTAATAGATTTGCTCCAATATAAAGTAGCCTACAGTATTGATGAGAGATGAGGCACTCAGAGGCAGTATAGGGATTGTTGCTACAGAGTCTTGAGTTCACTTGTATTATTAGGATGACAGAATGGAAAGTAAAATGGTACTTTTTAACATAGAGAAACAGTGTTGAAAGTTTGTTGTACAGTACACACTGTAGGGACATTAAAGGGTAAGGTTAAAGACTTGGGTTTTAGCTTAAGATAATCATATTAGATCTCATTTTCAAGAACTACATCCAAAACAAGGAAGAGGTATTTGGTAAATAAAGTTTACATGACTTAGGGGTGGACTCAATGAAACTACATATATCTTTTAAATGTTTCTTTCATGCTATCTGAAAATTCTTTGATTCTTTATGTAGGTCATGGAAAAGAGTAACTTCAAGATAGTGACTGATGATGAGATTGATGTTGCACATTCAGGCCAGTATCTTCTAAATCTTCCCATTACTGTTGATGAATCTAAGGTTTGTGCATAATATATGCTCTTTTAATGGAAAGTGGTTCTTGAGATGCTTGATTTTGCTGCTAGTAGTTGCTGATGTCTGTATTTTGCTGATGAAGCTTGACAAGAAACTTCTGAAGAAATATTTTGAAGAGCATCATCACGATGACCTTCCAGATTTTTCTGATAAGGTATGGCTCTGAATCTAGTGTAGGAGGTACTTATCCATGAAGGATTTCTTTGTTCGTGGTGTTCATTGTTCTATTATCTGGGTTGGGAATTTCTCTCTAGATGGCATGCTGTATGAAACTGCTGAAATAATGATTCATTATTCTAATGTGGCCTTCTTGACCCCTTTTAGTTATTGAAGCATCCTTCTTGATTTGTTATTGGAAATAAGAATCTTTGGTGCATGCTAATTATTTACTAAATATTCATTTCAGGAGAAAGACCTTTCTTATTTAAAATGAAACAATGGGGAGAGGGCTTGGTGATGCCTTAATACTTGTTGTAGTTCTATATGCTTCTTTCATGACCTTTGTCAAACTGATCTTCTAGAAATAGAAGATTGTCTTCTAAATTTATAATGTTATATATATCTTTTTTGTTACAATGACGGACATTCTACATGCTTTCCAAAGTCCAAACCCACTCCAAAATGGCTTAGAATATTTTATATTGAAGCATTGTTGGTCCATCCTTGTTGGAAAAACACAATCTTATAAATGTTGATGAAGTTGCACTGAATTTTGGCAGTAAATCATCAATGACATTGATTGATGTAATGGACTGTTGGTAGTCATCCAATCTGGTGATGTTAAGTTGTTAACCGAAGACCAGAAGTTTCTAGATTAAGAAGTTTCATTGTTTTTGTAAACATCAAGTAGATATTATTTGGCTTTTGTTACTTGTTTGATGCTGGACTGTAGTTGATCTTTCCTCCTCTCTTGCACACACCCCATTATACACTCACAGTAGAGGCTGCTTCATACTTATTATTATTTTAATTGCTTGCATTGGTTCGGAAACAATTTAATTCTTCATAAAAAGTGAGCTGAATTTGCAAATACAAATACTGATCTAAAGATTGTTGTTTTGTTCCTTGAGCTTAGTCTGTTTGTGAAATGGAAAGCTAATAAATCATATTATTTTAGTATGTTATCTTTCGGCGTGGAATTGGAATTGATCGAACAACTGACTACTTTGTCATGGAGAAAGTGGACATGCTTATTGGACGTTTTTGGGCATATCTGTTGAGACTAACAAGGTAAGCAAACTCGCAGACTGGAAAATTTAGTAATTGATGCTTATGAACAATCCATTATGAGAAGTCATGATATTTGGTTATTATATTAACTTCTCTCAGCAAGGCATGTAAAAGGCCAATGTAAAATAATTTATTGTTTGCATAGACTGTAGTCAATATGAGCTTCATCTGTATAGTGAGAGTCCGTAATTTTGAATTTTGAATCTATACATGTGAATGGTACCAGAGTATGCACAACATGCTTCTTAAGCGCTTTTTTTCTCCTCTTGTAACCTTTTAAAGCTGTACTGCTTGCAGGTTGGAAAAACTTTTATCCAGGTCAAAAAGGCATAAGCATAATAAGAAGGATCCAAAGAAGGACAATGAAATTATCTCTGAATCAAATGGGAATGAATTTTATGTTGAACGGATACGTCTTGAAAATATGCAACTAAGGTCTTAAAATGCTTCTCTCTTTCTCTGCATTGTTGTTGCTACTGCTACTGTATTTCTGGTTATCTTTTAGTTTTTTTCCTGGATGAGGACCGGTGCCTTTATATAGCATTTTTACTTGTAATAAATGCTTATCTGATGAATTTCTTCATGTACCATTGACCATTATCTGCAAGTTGTATGTTACTGCTTCTGATAAACTAGATTTGTGTAATCCTGATTGTTGGAAGCTTCCATTCAACTGAAGATTTAAATTCTCATTGTATGCTATGTACCTCATAAAATTTTGGACTTCTCATTGTATGCTCTGTACCGCATAAAATTGTCATCCAATATAATAGTCAACCTGAATTGAGGTTTTTGAACTTCATTAAGCTTACAGGTGCTTGAAGAATTCTATTTTTGGTGAAAGTCTAAAACTTTATATATATATAGAATGGTTGTAAAGTATTCAGAAAATTATTCAAATGCCTCAAAGTTCACATATAATTGGTACATCTACTAATTTGTCTTAGTCTTAGGACCACATGATGTTTCTTTCTCACCAAAAATGCTATGCTCATGCATCTTTGTTGCATAAATTATGAATGTGTCATGATCTCATGTAATAGTTTTCTTCAATTGCCAGTTTCCGTAACTTGCTGGGCAAGACCTTAATCCAAGAACCAACATTCGATAGGATAATTGTTGTCTACAGGTAGATATGCCTTACATCTCAAACTTCTTTTGAAATTTTTGAAACCTAAGAAGAAAATTGTTTTCAGGAGAGCCAATACCAAATCAAAAGAAGATCGTGGAATATTTGTGAAGCATTTCAAAAACATACCAATGGCTGATATGGAAATAGTTCTTGTGAGTTTCCTCATTTGCAAAGCTTTTAAAGAACATTCCAATTTTATTACTTAATTAACTTTTCCCCCAACAAAATACAAATAATGACCTTGGTCAAGAACTTCTTACTTGACAGCCAGAAAAGAAAAACCCTGGATTAACTCCAATGGATTGGGTCAAGTTTCTTGGATCAGCTGTAGTTGGACTGGTTAGTTTTTTAACCTCAATTTAGTGTTTCTATTTTACTGTTCTTGTTTTTCATCATCCTGAACTAATGCATCTTATGTTCTTCACAGGTTGCTGTAGTTAGTTCACTTGAAATGCCTACAGCTGATTGGTGGGTCATCATTGCTGTTCTCTCCACAGTAATTGGTTACTGTGCCAAGACATACTTCACGTAAGTATGTTAGTTGTGTTCTATGGTTGGAAATGTATGCTATGCAATGATTATGGTGAAAATTACTGGCATATGACTCTGAAACTTGATCTATTTTTTATGGACAGTAATATTGACTTACTAAATTGTTGTCCCTTCATTAAATCGTACTTTTTTTTATTATAATTATTGGTTGGACTAGCTGTTATGCAACAGTCATTTTGCCTTTTGAATCTCGTTGACATTATCATTGCTGCATTCTGCTAGTTTGTGGTGTATAGAAGTAAATGCATTTGAAAAATATATTTAACCATTGTGACCACTAATTCCTTTTCCCCATAGGTTCCAACAAAACTTGGCTCAATACCAAAATTTGATTACTCAGTCAATGTATGACAAACAACTTGACAGTGGAAAGGGTACACTTCTTCATTTGTGTGATGATGTCATTCAACAGGAAGTAAGTGCCAGCTTGATGAATTTTTATTTTCAAATTAAATCAGTATTGACAATTTTTGTTAAATGCTTTTAGAATTGTTCAGAAACTAGGATAGAACTGGCTGTTCTAATGGTACCAAAAACTGTCTTGCTTTGGTTTGACGCTGGCTGATCCGGCTCGTGGTTGAACTCTTGTTTCTTCAATTTGATTCTGTTTTGAAGTAGTTGGTGCTTACAGATTTGTTTTTGCTTCACTGCTTGCTGGTTTGTTCACATAATTATGCTCTGCTTTGGTGTCTAGTTCTCTTTTGTTTGGATGTAACTGTTCTCTGGTTTTGCTGTTATTAAAAATGTCATCTGTTGGAGCAATTGTTTGGGTGAAAATGTCATGGAGTTATGATTTAAGGCTATTTTGATTATTTAAGTTATTTAATATGTAGATAATCTATCTATCTATATATATATATATATTTGTTTTAATATAGTTTTTGATTTTAAGTAAGATCTTACAAAACAATCCATGTTATTATCAGTCTTCCAATCCTAGGCAGGATCTCAAATTCGATAATCTTGCAAATCTGAATGTTATGAATAAACACCGTAAACAGAGGTTGGGATCAACTAATACTAATATAAGATGGGTTGTATGATATTCGACACTATGTTTTATCAATCTAATTGGAGTCATGCAAGGTGCTGTTTTTGAATACTGAAAAACACTAATTGAAATCAGCAATGTGTTTATTTGAATACTGCATTGTTAAACCATAAAGTTTTGAAAATAATATAAATTTATTTCTGATCAGTATGACATTTCTTGAGCATAATCCACATGATGGATGATAGAGCACTGGTGATAAATTGATTAAATATATTGTTGAACACAAAAATCGTACACAATACAGCAGTACACTTACTGTCCCAAGGGCAAGTGTCGTAATTCTTTGTCCACAGACAGAAAAATAACAACACACTTGCCTGATTACACACCCTACTGTCCCTACTATCCCATATACTCCCCATATATATTTGCTATCAGTTATTTTCTATTCTTATTCTTAACTACCATCAGGCAGTTTCCTAACATCTCACGTATTCCTAATATGTGACTGCCACCATATCTCATATAGTATACTATACACCTTCCAATTGGGTGGCTTGGCTGGTTAGTGGTTCCCATTAATGGAAGGTTTTTATTGGGAAAAACCCGAGTCCCACATCGACTATTGATTAGGCAATTGAATAGTATATAAGTGGAAAGCAACCCTCACCTTACAAGCCGGTTTTGTAGGGTTGAGTTAGGCTTAATCCACTATTCTAACATGGTATCAGAGCCATTTAGATCCACTTTAAATGGGCCACCCACCATTGATGCATGCGTCATAGGCATGAGGGGGTGTATTGTGAAAAATCCAAGTCCTGCCAATCCTAGATCATTAAAAAGGGTCACCCACCATTTATCCACGTACTAAGCCCAATAGTACTGGACGTGAGGGAGTGTATTGGGAAAAACCCAAGTCCCACATCGACTAGAGATTAGGCAATTGAATAGTATATAAGTGGAAAGCAACTCTCACCTTACAAGCCGGTTTTGTAGGGTTGAGTTAGGCTTAATCCACTATTCTAACTTGGTATCAGAGCCATTTAGATCCACTTTAAAAATGGGCCACCCACCATTGATGCATGCCTCATAGGTATGAGGGGGGTGTATTGGGAAAAACCCAAGTCCCGCCTATCCTAGATCATTAAAAAAGGGCCACCCACCATTTATCCACGTACCAAGCCCAATAGTGCTGGACGTGAGGGGGTGTATTGGAAAAAACCCGAGTCCCACATCGACTAGAGATTAGGCAATTGAATAGTATATAAGTGGAAAGCAACCCTCACCTTACAAGCCGGTTTTGTAGGGTTGAGTTAGGCTTAATCCACTATTCTAACAGTTTTAGTATGACAAAGGTTTTGTAACAAATTCTTTCTTTACGTTTGTTAATAACTTGTTAATTATATAATCAAATACCTGACATTTTGGTATGTGTCTGTCAATGCTGAGGAACACTTTAAAAATTATCATTTTTCATGATTTGTCTATGTATTTTATTTATGATGGGGTGCCTGTGAATGTCTTTGTATTAAAATTATCATTTAATTCACCCCAACATGTGTGTGTTTGACAGAGAGGACCAATTCAACTTCTTGTTTGTTGTTTGGTACACTGTTTCACAATTTAAGAATCCATTACAGACAATGATTTTAATCATTCCTACTACTGAATTTAAGCAATTGTGTGTGATCAGGTATCCTTTGTTTAGGAAGTATTATATGCTGAGATTTCCGGATGCAGTATTAAACAATATTGAGAAAATTTTAAGTTTAAATTTGATAGGTGAATTTTGTGAGAAATTCATCAGCACTGTGCTCGTGCATCTCTCTGTATGATTCTTAGCTTTTGTGAAGTTCTTGTGTTACCGTTGAACAAGTATATATGTATGCCTATGTTTTCCCACAAGGGAGGAAAACATGATCCTCTTTGTAAGTGATAGGAATTAGTAGTTAGGGGCAGTTATGTGTAGAAAATAACTGCTTTAGAAATTAGATCTGTATTAAAAACTCCTGGGTGACGGTTATGTATAGAAAATAACTACTGATAGATAATTATTTATTAGAATCTGCAGGATGGTTGTTGTGTAGAAGTTGTAAAGTAGGCAGTGTGGAGTTATTTATAATTTGTGGACAGAGAATAACTTCTGTAGGAGACTTTTGTCTCTGAGACAAGAAGTGTATTGTTGTATTATATGTCATAGGAGATTTTTGTCTCTGGGCGAGCAAGTGTATTATTTTATTGTATGTGAGTTTGGTGTTCTATCTGTAAGCAAGTGTAATCATATATTGGCGGTTACTAATTGCACCCTGATATTCATATACTCTTTAAGAAATAAAATATTTCAAAGGATGAATTTTGAAGACTTAAAAAGATGTTTGAAAGTATGGACAGAAATTAAGGTTGAGAGATTGAAGAATGTTTCCACTTCCCATACGTGAAAAATGTAGTGTGATACTGTTTGACAGACAAACAAAAATGTGTTGCCTTTACTTCTCTTCTAATATGGTCCTCAATTCGCAACTCATTTCTTAAAAGTCCAATGGAAATAAAATTTTGAAGACTTTGGAATTGCATATGCATATGCTACTTAAATAGTATAAAAAATGTGTCAATTTCTGGACTGTTCATGTATCTGAAAACTTAATTTGGTTGCATCAACTGTTATATGGGCATTAAGATTATGCTCCTTTATATGTGATAATTAAGTGTACTGGAAAGCATGTAACGATGAGTGATTAGATTGTTGTAAAATCATTTTCTAGCCCTAGTTGCTACTTGCTACTACTGAGCTTTGACTCGCTATTTATTTTTAAGAATGTTGCTATGCACCAGCGAATCAATCTAATGGCTACCAATCTGTAATTCTTTAAATGCGTAGGTCAAAGAGGTAATAGTTTCATTCTTTATTCTGATGGAACAGGGCAAAGCTACTAGACAGGTATATACATGAACATTAGTTTTTAACAATCTTGTTTTCTTTGTTATCTATGCCACCTGTTTTATTTAAAAACTCTCTTTTATACTTGGATTACACCAAGGTTTCTCTTAGTTTTATTTTCTAAAGTACTTATAATAGCTGTTTGGTAATATGGATCAGGATCTTGATCAATGGTGTGAGGAACTAATCAAAGAAGAGTTTAATGAGGAATGTAATTTTGATGTGGATGATGCCGTTCAGAAATTAGAGAATTTGGGAATTGTTACTCGGGTGAGATTCCAAAATATTCCCCTTCTAATCTCCAGTGATTATATCTATGAAATATAATACACCCCTTTAAAGGAAAACTAATCCTTTTTCATTGTGACCCCCAAAAACAAATTTATTTGAAGATTTTGATTTCTATATTGACTGAAAGCTTGCCTTGAAATTCAGGATTCTGTTGGTCGGTATCAATGTGTGGGGCTGAGACGGGCTAATGATATCATTGGCACCACCACTGAAGAGCTTGTCCTTAAGGCAAAACAGGGAAACTTTACTCCTTGATGGTGTTTTTAAAGGGTGCTTATCTCTCTCATGTACATGCTTGTATTGGTTGATAATGAATCTCCTGAAATTACCTGAGGTTAGAATTTTCCTTTACACAATTCTAGATTGATGTCTCATCTCTTAGATGGAAGTTAGTTTCTGGTTTGTGTCTAAATTCTTGTGTATTTTTCATGTAACTCTATGTCAATGTGTTGTCTATATTGTATTTTTTTTTTCTCAATAGATTCTGAAGCACTCTCAATTATAATGTTTGGACTAGTTCATTATTTTCAAGCTTTTTTATATGTAGTTTAGTGTAATTACCACAGGATGTTACCCCAACACTGATTAAATGTTGAATCAGTGGGCTAAAACTGGTATTATTCACTCGTACTTGTATTGTTTCAACCTTTTATGAAATAATGATAGCTATGTATTGATAGTGGGTTTTAGAAGTTGCTATGAGAATTGAGGAGTACTTTCAAAATTGAAAACGTTAATATATATGTGGGGTAGTTGTTATCAAAAAATAATACATTTGTGAAGATGGTTTTGTCTTCCGTCTAGTATAATTTTTTTAAGGCTTTCTTTTGTCTATGTCTATGAAAGTTAAAAGAAAAAAAAATGAATGAATAAAATCCACGTGTCTGGTGCATATAAACAAATATATGTATCATCAAATGGTGATTTGAGTACGTTGCTGTTGGACTCTGATGTAGTATATTATGTTATGTTCTTTTGGGCACTAAACAACCTTGGTTTCGTGTTGAGGATTACTTTTCACTTTTTCTTCCTTCAAATTATACCCCTCTTGTATTTCGGGAATTAATTTTTGGAGTATAAAGGAGGGTTATGTTAAAAATTAATTTCTGGATTGCGGGGATGTGAATAGGCTCTTGTTTAATCTCATATCCAGGAAAAAAGTTTCTTCTTTGATGAAAGAACTTGCTGCAATTAGTCAGACGCGGTTCAAAAGTACCGAATAAATGAGAGGAATATGGGCATTAAAAATATATAAATATATACTATTAAACTAGTAAGAGACTATAATACTATCGTGTACTTTTTTTTAATGTGAGATTTGGTATCTAGGGTTTATAATAATTGGCATATTCTTTGCTCAACTAATTGAGTTAAACTTTGTTAATAATTATATGAAAAACTAATGCCTGAATGCTCCATATGATTTTTTCGGAACATAATGAATGTTTACAATATAGTGTTGAATTTTTGCAACAAAAATAATAGATAGAGGGTGATATTTTAATAACTATCTAATAGAGAACTAATGATAAGTTGTAATGATATGTTGAAAATTCTCAAGTCAAATATACTTGTTGGTTAACTAAAATTTAATAGTGACCAATTTAACTTAGAATTTTCCTTGTCAAATTAAAAGCTAGTGATGACCCAACAAAGGAATTTTATTCTAACGTCAAGAAATTTTCTTAAATAGGTTTGACTACTAAAATAGGATTTTATGATCATATGAAGTGTGAAAATAATGTAGAATTTGTCAAAGATCACTAGATTACTTTAGTTTTTTTTTTTTAACTCATTATGTAATAGTTTTTCAATTTTTAGTTTATTATCTAATTGATTTGGTCTAAAATTTAAATTCGATCTAGATGAATTTAATTTAAAACGATTTTATTTGATCAATTTTCGATTTAGTCTTATTTTTCTCCGTAAACAATATTACATAGTTAACATATATAATAAATAATTAAATATAGTGAAAGTATTAAATATCTCATTTATATGTTATTATATAACTAATAATAGTTTAGTTCTTCACTATTAAACATAATTTACTTTTTTTTTACTAATAACCATAAATTACTTAATTATATTTTTATATTTTTACATTAATAATTAATAAGAATTGTCTTTAGTTAAATATATTTTTATAAATAATTTATGCAATAATTTTACAAACGAGAAATAAAAATATAAATACTAGTGGTATCATAAATTTATATATAGGAACATAAATGTAAGTATAAGTTCAATTTGAATTCTTGTAAAGAAATAAAAGTTTAATTTCAATCCATATATTAAACATGAATTTCTATCTTGCATGAAAATATTTTTATGGATTTTTTTTCAACGAGTGGATTTGTAGAGTTTTTTAATTTCTTATCAAATTTAGTTTTTTGTTTATCACAATTATTTATGAATTAAATATTAATATTTTAAAATAAATTATCAAAAATAAAAATAAATTTTTTTGTTAAAATACAAGTTATTTATCATAAATTTAAAATATAATTTATATATATAAAAATAAATTTTAATATGATTTATATATATTCAAATATAATATATAATTTATTATAAATTTTAATTATATATATAATAAACATGTATGTACGTTACATAAGCTAAAATACCAGTTATTTTTAAAATCAAATCTGAAATTCAATCTAATTAAATATTTTTTTTTTCGATTTTCAGTTTATTCAGTTTTTGGTTTATTTGATTTTTTTTCCATTCTTTTTTTATTAGATTAATTTATAAATATTTCTGCTCATACATTGTGAGAACGCAAATATATCTTCGACAACTCAGTCAAGTTTTTGTTTTTGGATTATTCAGTCAGTGATATTTTACTTAATAAAATTTAGTAAAAAATAATAATAATTCAATTACAACTCAAATTATCAAGTGAAACGATAAGTATAGAAATATGAGCAATGAAGCAACACAAAAAAAAAAAAAAAAAAAATTACTAAACCAAAACTGAGTTATTTCCTGAAAATGGCTTCAAATATGGTAACAGGGTCATCAACTACTAATTACAAGTTACAAACGAAGGCTAGTGACTATTATCTAAGTGCTAGACTATGAAAATTTTAAAGAATATAAGAATTCTTTGAAAGAGATTAATAGCTGTCTCTAGTAACTTATTTTCTGCTATGAATAACAAGTATAGAGTATTTATGAAGAACTACTGTAACTTGTAAGACTATTATTATGAGCATTCTTATATTTCTTAAAATCTACACTATCGTGATTGTGCCATATTTTTCCTATAATAAAGATACAATCATAACTATGCTAGTTGACCTTTTGATATGTTTTTCCATGACTATTGGGTGGATTTCCTTAAAAGATGAAGGTAGTAACTTCAGTATTGCCCTTTTTGTCCCATTATATTATACCTTTTGACACTAATTAGTCTCCACGTGTCACGCATCTACACACTATTTAAACCACTATTCTGAAGCCTTTCTAATAGATCACATGATGATGATGATCTTCAATCACGTATTTGTTTTGGCTCATAATTTTTGTTAATCTAAAGGAACAGGAACAGCAACGAGGTAGTCACTGATGCGAAATTCTATTCTACTGTGTTATTTGGCCATCAAATTTGTCCCTTGCTGATAGAATATTCCTCAGCAACTTCCACTAAAATAACAGGTAGTCCTACACATTCAGGAGTCAACTTAATAGAATATCGAAATCATTGTTGAACAGATAAAAATAGTGAGGATTATTCATTCATTCTAGTCATCAAAATTTGTCCACTAATTGTGACATATTCTCCTAATTTTCGGCCACATTTGCAACTTGCATTTTCCTTCTAGTAGTTCCTGTGGCCGGTATTCAAAGTTGCCTGCAATGATATAAACAATTCCATTCTACGAGCGTAGTATATGGTGTATTGATTTGATAACAATACTATCCAAAAGTCTTTGACTACGTTGATTTTATTTTCACAAGTTACTAATTATTAACACTAACGCACTAGGAATGATATGATCATTAGAAACCAAAGCGAGTTCATATCAACCCTCAAACCTAATCAATCTAATCCAACTAAATTACATTTCAGAGAAATAGAGTCGTTAGTTGAACTATATATATTTTAGTCAACCCAATTATAATTAAATTGGATAGCATGTTAATAAGTTTTTAACTCAATTAAGTTAAAATTATATTAGTAAAATATTAATTATATATTTAATTGGAACATATATTGACATATAATTTATATTTGTCTTGATCATAGAATTTATAATTTTTTAATTTTTCAAAATTTTAAAATATATTAATATTTTAATAAATTGATTTGTTTATCCAATTCAATTCAACCCAATCCAATTAAAGTAAAATTAAATTAGGTTATCTTGAGTTGTTTAACAATAATTAGTAAACCCAACTCTTTAATCCCCGATAATCAATTGCTTAAATTATTAAGATATTAATGTCTTTCTACGCTTAAGTTAAATATTTAAACCAATTCAAGCGACTCATAAAATGTGACATAATTAATCAATAATTTTATCCTTTATGTGGTAAGGAATTTGATACTTAGGTGTATGAAAAAAAATATATGTTTGAGAGAATTTGATAAGAATCTCAATAGAAAGAAACATAATAAAAAGAATATCACAGTAACAGCAACTTTTCATTTCAGTCATATGCCAAAGCAAAAATGATGGAATTGGAAAATTGTTTTTCTACCCTTCTTTCTATTTACATGGAACAAAAAATCAAAGCATCGTAATAGTAATAGGTTTTACGTCAATATGAATGACTAAATATTTACACCTTTCGGTAGAATTAGACAGAGAAGTGACTTGCATTTTTGGCATTTCTTTGAAGAATGATGACAATTGCTTCATCCCTCTATGTCATTAAAGAACTTTGGATCTTCCATAGGTCCCATGCGGTCACGCAAGGAAACCATCCAAAATGTCAAGAATCTTAATGGCAGGCACAGATGATGCAAATGAAATGGATGATGTTATTCACAAACATCAATCTAGCCATTACTTCACATTTCAGTGAAAATTGCTTGCACAAATGTGGAGGGAAACATCGGCTTTGTAGTAGCAGGAACAGCTTATACGTGTGTGCCACTGTGATGAGATTCCAAGTGGCAATAAACAACTAATCATGATAAGAGCTTTGCAGTTTCTGAACCTGGAACATTTTGCAAGTCACCTGTCCAACATGTACAAAATTGCAAGTGTCAATAATTAAAGCTTAATATGATCAGTACATTAAAATATACCCATGTTGTGCACAATTTATTTATTTCTCTTGTAGCTGCAATAAATTGTTAAAACTCATATTCAACTTTTGAGAGTATCATGGACAAGCTTAAGATCAAACACTGAAATCAGATTTAGGAATTTAGCAGTGTAATAGCTAAGACAAACTGTCAAATACTTGAAATTTCTTTCTCAGTTTTTTAATCCCTTTTAAGATAAGATGTTCGCAGTGTAGATTCATTAGAGAATAAGGGGAAACAAAAGGAAAACTGTATAAGTGAACAAAAGGAAAACAGGTTGAAGACAACAACTATTAACTTGTGATTAATATAAGAAAACAGAAAGAAAAAA